ATCAAAGCTACCGGAGGAAGAGCAATGTGAAGTATGGTGACCGAGAAGATCTTCATCCTGTACTGGTTCAGAAAGTGAAGTCGAAGTAGCTGTCGAAGTCATGATAAGATGCGGGTCTGGAGTAGGAGCCATAATGTCCATGGTTGGGCAGTATGGGGAAGACAGGCTGATGTTATTGTTTGTAAAAGCAACTGAAGCTGTGTTGTTACATCGGAAGAATTTCATGAAGTAGGAAGCGACGATGTAAAATGCTGTAAAGTCGCCATGGACTTTGGTGCAGTCATAACAGGGGTACAACAAACCGGAGGGAGAGAAGGAGAACCTGGATTATGTAAAGGGGCAAAAATGTCGGGCGTTCCTTTAGGCGTGGGACATCTCATAACAGTAGCAGAACAGCGAGGGTTGTCTCTGTGAGTAAGGCTTGGTTGAGAACATAGTCAGGTTAGGTGGGATCATGAAAGTATCCTTGCCAAGAGGAAAGGGCGTCCATGAACTGAGGAAAATGATCTCAATTGTGAGTTATATGGGAGTAAGCAGGATACAAAGCCAGGTTCAAAGATAAGTCAAGGAGCTGATGATGATAGTCGTAGGAGCATGATCAACCCTGTAAGTGAGAGTCTGGATAACTGGAAGAGGAAGAAACCAACTGAGAAGCTATACCCAATGAGTTCATAATGTCCATCATCAGAATCAAAGCGAAAAGATTCTGAAGTTTCTCTGCATGAGGATAGATGAGCAGAGAACCAAGCTACCTTCAGATGAGTCTCAAAAAGTGGAGGTTCAACGACCTTAGGGGTCCCTTGAGGTTGGACAACCCATGAGTTTTGCTGATCCTTTAGTGATCACTGAGCGAAGGATGTGTGCTTGATGCGTGCAGATCCAATGAAGTTTGCGACCCCTAGATGTTTGACAAACCAGAGAGGTGCGTTGGGCCAATGAAAATTCATGACTCTTTGAAGTATGCCGAGTAAGGGAGGTTCGCCAAACCTTGGAATGCTGATCCAGATCCTTGGTTCGCCAAACCTCCGAAGCATGTTGAGATGAATCCAAAGCAAGCTCTGTAGGGGACAGCTTTCCCAAGTAATGCCGTTTCGACAATCGAACCTGATTAGAGGATTGCCAATCTTCATGAGAACCATCATCAGAATATAAGGTCAACAAGGCAGATGAGTGATCTAGAGAAGACCTGTCATGACATGAATGATGAGTAGGAGATTGGGAACAGCGAGGTGTACCTGATGAACGATGGTCTGCCGACTTGATCACATGTATTAATGAAACTCCTATCGAGGGATCTATGTGAGGTACAGTTATGGTAATATGCTCTGATGCCATCATCTTCAAGTTGTCAAGGGTTCATTGAAAGCAAGGTGACCTAGGTTGATGTAGAAGAAATAGGTTCTGAGGGATCTGAGATATTTATGGCACTTTACAGACAACCATACCCGAAGGTAGGTCTGCCGAAGTGGTCAGGAGGTGGTTCGCTGAACCTGGTTGAGCAGTCACGTTCGAGAAGTCGTCTGTCAGAAACACCCTCGTACGGAGTTCGGAGGGCATGAAACAGTGCTGCTCTTTGATGTCATGGAAGATTTCTACATCTTTTTGGAGGGTGTTTTCTTTGACTTTGTCGTTTTCTCAGAAGATTCTTCACATCGATCCTGCTCACTACTACAACATTTTTGTCAGGTAGACATTGAAAGATTTGTCTGGCAAATCTATGCACTGAGCACAATGAGAGCTTGTGCTACAGCGCCCCCAACAATCACAACAGTTGTCATGAGGATCAGACGGCGACAGACTCTTCTGCAAGTCCTGATGATCTATGGTGTGATCGTGAGAAAAAACACTGAAAGGAACTTGAAAATTCTGCACGTAATTGCGCAAGAAAAATCAGGAAGTCCCAAACTATTAGCACGTCCCCACAGCGTGGCAATTAGAAAGAGAATGAGCTCTAAATCATGTGATGGTAACAAGATGGCGCCTGATCAACTCTTGCTTCGCGAGGCATTATCACTTCAAAATTAAAAATACATGTTCATTTGACCATCCAAGTGTTTACAGAAACAAGAAAACAGCGTTATCACTATCCACCACCTTTGGCAACATAAGAATTTTGTTTGTTCATATGGTATAAGTAGTGAACGTAATCTACAAAAAAAGAGTCCTTTAGGGCCTTAAGAAGTGATAGACACTTGGGTCATTTAATGTCATCAGATGAAATTATTCAATCTGAAATTAATACATACAAAAGGCCTCTTCTCTGTTTAAAAAAAACTCAGTCTTGATAAGTAACTCTTAGATAAGCTATTTTAAGGACCAATTTTCAAAGTCTGTTTTGACAGGGTATCTCTTAGATAAGCATGCAATCTTCATCCACGCAACGTCAGTAGTTTTTGAGAAAATTTGTCCCCATTTCACGCAGCATGCACTAAGTTGAAAAGCACAGAGCAATAGCCATAAATTTTCGAACTCATTTCAGATTATGACCAGTAACATCAGTGTGTAAAATTTCATTTTTCTGACTTTTTGAGAAAATTGGTCCCCTTTGAGATGCGAACAAATTGACGGACAAACTCTGTTCCCATATCCCCCACCCTAATTCGTGGCTGTGGATAATAAATGTTCTCTGAGGTAAGACTAAATTTTATTGTATTGGTATTATTAAGCACATAATAAGAGGTATTGCTTAAGGGCTCGAAAACATAATACACACAGAACACACACAGTGTAAAATGTCTATGAGGGAGTAAATAAACCAGTAAGGGTTTGCAAAAACAAGATGGCCACCCCCCACTAAAAAGCGCCACCATTTATCTTTTTCATTTTTCAATCATTATTTGTAAGCAGTGTTAGAAATTGGCACTAGTCCTATAGTCCTTTCCAAACTGTCCAATAGTTTAGGCATCCTAAGGACAAGTAGAAATTTGCCCTTTTTAAGGGTTTTGCGATATGTTATCATTATAAGGACCAGTTGACTAAAACTGTTAGTTTCTACTGCCGGTACTGAGTGACCTTTGACTGAAGTCAGGTAACAACGTGGCTACCCATAACCTTCCTTTGTGTGTATTTGTCATCACTTCAACCCTTTCTGTTCATTTCAGTAACAGTTTAAACACATTCTAACATTGATGCAGAGGATCAACATGGCACAAATAAATTTTGTAGCATACCTACCTATTGATGCAAGTACCTATACTGTCACAAAGCACACATACGTAAGCCAGAAGGGGAAACAAATTGTAATTTTCAGGTGGTACATTCAGAATCAAGAATCGCTGGACAGAATGGCATATAAAATTCTGTAAGTAACAGTTACATTGTTGAAATATTATTTCATAATGAACCAGATCAGTGGAGACATGCAGATATTGTTAAAATTACGTTATGTGCACTTTTAATTATATTACCATGAAACATACTTTTCTATGAGAGTTACCTCCCTTGTGCTTAGCATACATATAGAATATAAACAAGCTCCCGTGTAATACCAATTTTATGAAATGAGTGAATAGTTGTGGTATCTGACGAGCAAAAGCGATTCAGATACCACAACTATTCACGAGTTTCATAAAATTGGTATTACACGGGAGCTCGTTTAGTATTTTATTTATTACTTGCCATTTATAACGTTTTTTGAATTATACTGTTGAGTATGAATAGACTGACACCTACACGATCCACGGCATAGTCCTATTGAGTTTAACAGAATAATACTTCAAACACGTCAAAAGTTGAAACGTATGAATTTAATACCATACAACGGTCCACCTTAGAATTCACAATATTATCATAGGGCTAAGACTATCGCAACTCACATACTTTAACTTAGACTTACGACTGCCATTGCACTACAATATGATCGCCTTATGGAACGGGCCTGGCATCTCCAAGTTTACAATAACGTCACAATACCCGATGACGTAATTTGTGGAATTTGTTGCAAGATACATCGGCGAAACAATGCCATGTGACGTCAGCCTAGCAACAAGGTTGCTGGGGTCATCGAGTGGGCATAGGCTCCTCTCAGAGATCTATCAACTCCACACGCAGTGTCGTTGAATAAGCCAAGGGATGTTGAGAGCTTTCAATATTTGTTCGTGAAACTGTTCTGAGAGTACATAAGCATGCGTTTTGGTATTACACAATGTGTAATACAGCTGTATGTCTATTAAACGGGTGATCTCTTCACGGGCAAGTAATAATGTATGTTTATTAATGTCAATTAATGACATGTCAACTATTCATGCTGTACAAAAGTGCTCATATCTCTCTACATGGAAAATGGGTCAAGATTTCCTGTCTGTCCCCATGACAGCTTTGTTTCCCTTCGATCAATGAGCCCCACTAAAACAAACGTGTTCAATCAAATGCTTTCGTAGTAAATGTGATGCTTAATTACCAACGTAGATACAAACTACAGGTTCGCTGAAATATGGCTCTGACGGAGGTCACTGATGACATTGTTGAATGCCAAGATGGAACTATTTTCGAGTACTTTTTCAATGTTGATGTCCAATTTTCGCTGTTGATGGATCACATTGATATCAATTTCAAGGTTCAATCATATTAAACCATACAAATGCAAGTGGGGTCATTATTCTGCTTATTCTGAGCTTTATCGCCCTATTTTTCAAATATTGACGCTGTTGCATGTGGGTTTATTAGTAGCATCAATAGGATAGATGTCCGTGACATGTGAACAAAGGAAGAGATCATCCACAGGAGACACTCAATTCAATCAGAGTTCCCCAAATTGTTTTGTCCAAGGGCAGATCAAGCATTTTTAAATGTAATGAGTAACGAGTAATGAAGCGTGAGCCTCAGAAGAGACAAATAGCGCCATGAGTTGTGTCTAGTAAACTGCAGTTTGGATGTCGATTAAAAACATGTAGGTAATGTCTTCTGTTATACAGAATTTGAAGGTCCCCATGAAATCCAGTGAATTTTGGCGAATTCCACGGCACGAACATCGACTTGCGTAAATAATCTATTCAACTTACAAGTCTATTGTCGTTGATAAATCACCAAGCAAGCTTCTCCTGATTCTGTTCAGATATCATTATCCAACGCCTTTTATCAAACCTTTCCGAAAGAAAACTTAGCAGTGAGATCTATGATCACAACTGTCAATCACCATCGCCATCAATCAACAAGTTTTTCAATGTCTTAGACAGCGGAAACGAAAGAGTTATCTACCCTTGGTTGTATTTGCTCGAACATTCGCAATGTCCAGGAACAAAATGAGCACATAATTTTTCACGAACAGAATACGAAATCGATCTTATTCGTGATTACCATATTACTATTTTCCTCGAATAGATTTTGTTATAGCAAATGTTTGACCATTCATTATGTAAGGCTGAATATCATATTTAGGGGTGGACCATTTGATATTTAGGGGGTTGGTTGGATTAAAAATTTGCTAATGATAGACTATAATATCGACTGGTTGACTTGTGTTCGGTGCTATTCTCGCTGCGCTGCGCGAGGCGCAGTTACCGGAGTATCGAAGAATGCAATCTTATTAAAATCAGATCTTAGTTCTCGCTACCGCTAAACAAAGTTTGTTGAAGTTTAGATTTTGTTTGACGGCCGGTCTGTAAATAATCGAGTCTGGACCAGACAACCCAGTGGTTGACATCATGAGCATCGATCCACGCAATGGGAAGTCAGTGCCGATCACCACCCGATCCTGTATAGTCGCCCCCTCTTACGATAGTCGGGTTGCTGAAGACCTATTCTACCCCGGATATTCACGGGCCAGAATGAGAAGTGGTATATCATAAAAAAGGTATACAATAAATAGGTTGTGGCCCAAACGGCCTCATCTCAAAACGGCCATAGAAAAGTCAAAATCACCCCAAACCCATAGTCAAAACGGCCATTACAAAAATGCCATGACTGCCACAACAACAAAAGTCAAAATGTCCATGATAATAATAAATGAATATTCAATGTGAGCAGGATGTGTACAGAGTATAGATGTTAGATGTTGTTTTTAACGTTCAGTCATGGATCAACTCCCCATTACCATGCTGGAAGCTAACATCAGTGCAGGTGAGAGCTAGGATTAACTGCTGAGAAGGTTGTGTATTTAATTAGTCACCAAATTAGTCTCTGGTTATTTTATATGGTTACATTAACCATGTTAACATTGAATATATATTTCTGTTCAGGTTAAAGACAAAACGCTTTCAAATCTTTTCATCAAAAGGAATGGTACAAACCAGTAAGAAGATACAAGCAATGTGACACAATACTTGAGTTTGTCTTCTTTATTTTATGTGTGCGCGTTATGACTTTTTTTTGGCCGTTTTGACTTTACCTTTTGAGGCCGTTCTGCCCGTTCCCCACTAAATAGCAGCTGCATGCCAAACTGACATGTGTTTTGTTGTTGTTTGTTTTAATGCATGTACGAATTGAAAAGGTGAAGCTATCGGTCAACATCATATTGTGTACAATAAAAAAATACATAGTATCCCTTCAGAGAGTTCAGGTAAACGATCGAACAGGTGATAACAAACTTGATCAATATAAATGGGCTAATTCAGATCAATTATCACATATGGTAATTGAGGATTTAAAATGTATTTTATGTTCTGCTGGGCATTCGTTTATATGCAGAAACACAAGATAGCTGCGCGATAAATCGCAAAAGACAATGAAGAACTAAGCGTGGTTTATTATACGACACAACATTGTTCTTCATGCCGTCATTTCTGGAATTCGAACACGCGCTCGCAACTTGATGATGTCTGTTGTGCCCTAAACCTACATGACAGTGGCCTTAGTCTACAAATCCATGAGTGGGCGGAGCCTATGTGACCACATATGACACTTGTTTCGTACGCAGTGCATCTCCCATGAACACGGAAGTGCATCGGACTTCTGCCGAGTTGTGACAGCACACAGCGTATGCCGGCACTCCATTGATTGCGGGGCAGTCAATATACCGAAACGACTTGTAACTTCTTTGTTAAATAAGCAAACGATCATATCAATGAATCCCTGTGAAATGAACAAAGCGAACTGTATATAACAGAGTTGAGTCGAAAGACTGAGTATTTCTTAGGCCAGAATGTTACTGGAGAACATTTAATGTCTTTGATTGCCACCTTTCTTTGCGCTGAATATATTAAAAAATTAATAAATTTTAAAATGTTTATTAAAGTAAATTGTTCTTCATTTTTTGTCACTCTAGTACGTCATAACAACACTGTTGCTGAGGTGCTGTATGTTGTAGCGCCGATCGAAAAGGACCATAAACCTCAGTCTGAAGGAAGACTTATGGAACCTTTTAAGTTCAGTATGATGTTTACTTGTTTTCCCGCGCACTCAGCAATATTCAATCTGCATAACGGTGGTTTGTAAATAATCGAGTTTGGGCCAGACACGCCAGTGATTAACACCATGAACATGTATGTATCTAAACCATTGGGATCCTGCTAGTCGTCTTTTACGATAACTCTATATAGTCGCCTCTTACGATAAGCTTTGGTTGCTGAATATTCTCACCAGAAATGTTTTCTTGGGCTGAATAAAAAACCCATAGGCAACATAAATAGAAGTGAATATAGGTCCCATCTAGGCATTATATACAGTAGTGACGTTTTATTAAGGATGAAGATTGGCCCCATAGGCATTATTAATAGTAGTGATTTTTATTGGGCTGAAGATAGATCCCAAAGGCATTATAAATAGTAGTGATGTTTTATTGGTCTGAAGACAGATCAGAAAGGCTTTATAAACAGTAATTATGTTTTATTGAGGTTGAAGATGAATTCCATAGGCATTATAAGTAGAAATGAATGTTTTATTGGGGATCAAGATAGGCATTATGAATAGTACTGATTATTGGGGATGATGGTGGATCCCCACATGCATTATAAATAATAGTGATGCATCCACAAATGAAAAAGAACAAATCATCTGACTGTTTCTTTATGTCCGACTTGATGAGAGATTGTTCTGTCTAATCTGTTTCTTTGTATACAAGAGTAGTTACTGAAATATCAAAACAATACCAAGGAACTGTGATTCTATGTCAAAACCAAACAGACAAAAATATGAATTCAAAACATCCCTAAATAGCAAACGCCACCAGTTGACAGCCTGATCTTTGTGTGTGCATATTTTCAAGGAAGAGTACCTATAGTTTTAGCATGATATAACATTTATACTAAATTTTTATATAATTATTATGGTTCTGTTCGGATCCAAATGGCGTGCTGTTTTTCTTCGAGGATTAGTTAGCAAAGGGCCGGAGTCACAGGAAACTAATCACAATTTTATTTACAAGAACAATTAACAATGAACAATTTACAATATCTTAGAATATAGCCGAGGGTGTCACAGAGAGTCGGTACAACCCTCTGGGCTGTGGGAGAGAGGTCTGCTTGGTATGAGCGTCAAACCCTTCTGCTTAACATTTTGCTTCTGTATGTATTTAACAAAACTTCGAACAATAAAAAGGAATATGATTGATTGATACACGATGGGTGAGTCTTATGGTTGATGAATGGCTAGACAGAGGGGAATACTTAATCCTGTTAATCCTGTTGGACTGACACTAATCTTGTTGACATATTTACTGGGTGCTTGGAAAGAGATTATGGTATCGCTACAGACGAGCTTGTATGGGGTTTTATCCTCAATGAGTCTAAATTGAAGTAATTGCTGAATGTAATTCTAATATAGATGATGACAGATTTACTTAAATAAAATAGTTCAAGGCAGTCTATAAGACTATGTAGACATATCTTTTGTCTTATTGGATATTATGTCTGGGAGATGGGATCTTGATACCTTAGGCTAGTATGTATCTAAAAGCTTTAAATCTATTAAACTATGTAGACATAACTTTTGTCTTATTGAATAGTATATCTAGGAGATGTGTTCTCGTTACCTTAGACTAGCATCTATCTAAAAAGCTATAACTGAAACTACTGATAATTTGTATATGCATTTTACCTGATGATTGTATTATGTGCTAAACTATAATTATATGAAATGTTGTTTTAATGTTACACCATGATAACTCATAAAAGCACTTGTTGTGGATCTAATTATTATATGAAAACTTAGTATAAATGTTATATCATGATAACTTCCCCTCCGTCTGAAAAGGTTTGGACCCCAAGAGTGTAAAATAAAATAATTATGGCTTAGATGGACAATGTATTAAATTAAACTGGTAGTATAGTAAGTAACAAACATAATAGTGTCTCTATGGTATACAAAAACATAGTTTTAAAGTTCGGCTGTTATCAGGGAATCTGGATGTGGAGCTGGCTTGTCTTGGCACTCTGTACTGGTGGTTGATGGTGATGTAGGAGGCATTGAGATAGTTCCACATCCTGGTTTGAGTGAGTTAATATTTAAAGTCACATCGGCAATATTTCAGCCATATCGTGACGACAATTTCCTCCTCACTCATGTCCGTCAGGCAATGAACTCGGTCCCGTACACTTCCTCCGCTTGAATTCAGTGTCCTGTGCTCTGAGACAACAACCAGAGTATTGACAAACTGCTGGAGACCCAGCAGGTTGATAGATTGTTGCCTCCTTGTACATGCCACAAGAATGGAACCAGACCGAAGACGGGTGACATTTTTTACGTCTCCGCAAGCACTTTGTATGTCCTTGGATATGGCAAAGGTATTTAACTTTAACGGTAAACCGTCAACAGAATCTACTACTATAAACCTGGGCCAGGAATTTGAAGCATCAGGATAGATATCTTCATCAGATGATATAAGATCAACATGACGACGTTTGTTGGGCTTTTGACGAACCAGAAGAGTTGTTAAGAGCCATGATGGAAATAATATTGATTCGGCATCCCTGCTCCCCACCCGCCATCGAGTGTCAACATGAACGATGTTGCAGCAGAAGCCAGCCCGCAACACCAGGGCTGCAGGGATGTTATACTCCAGAAATAAAGACATGAAAAGCTATGTAAACTAAAAGAATAGATGTCAGGCTAGTTCGGCCCATAACAACAGCCGTCTGGCATATGACTCTAGGCAATTCATATAACATAAGTTCCATGAACATTCATGAATTGTGAAATAAGTCAAAATAAGTTTCACATGAATGGTTTCCATGCTCAGGGCATGGCGTGACCAGCCGATTGATAGAATTGGGCCCATTCTACCACCCGTCTAGGTGAAGAAAGGGTC